GGATGCAGTGTGTGCCTGGCCTTTTCACCTACTCACTTGTTACCTTCATAGCAAACATTGACAGCAGGAAGCTGTTATGTTTGTAACCCCAAAATTCCCTAAATGCTTGGCGTTTCTAACCAAACACTCAGCTCATCCCTACTCTCCAGCATAGAGAGCAGTTAGCAGCAGTAGCGAGATCACCAAATCTTACATCAAATCTTGTGCACTCACAGGTTTAATGCCGTAGATGATCTCACAGAGCATTTATACAACTATGGGGCTTAGGTATAGAAATGCCAATACACACCTAAATACTAGATAGCGCATTGCAATTTTTGTGGAGGAATTTAAGGCAAAAGATGATTTATTCAGGGTACAGTTCAGACACAGTTAACATCTCTGGATGTTCAATATAAATTGACACATCCTAAAATTGTTAGTCCCAGTTCACTTTAATGAAATGACAGTCCTTTTTTATGTGATCAATATGTATCCAGTGTAAATGCATGCAATTATTTTATTTTTCTGTTCTTTAAACAATGAACATGACCAGGGCAGTGATGACTGAATTTCACTGTTTGTTTCTGTACTATTGAGCTGACAGCGTCCTTTAAAACCCCAAGATAATTTTAATTAAATTAACTTTGTCCGTGTTATTATAAAAGACAAACTTGTTTTGCAGGGGTAGAGTGCCCTTCACAATAGCCAAGTAGCTGTCATGAATAGAAAATAAGCTCATCCATAAATGTGTTAGTGTCCCTGACAGAGAACCAATATACCTGTACTTAGGTGTCATATGATGAGTATTATCTCTGCTTTCTTATTACATCTGTATTACTAGACATTTAAAGTAACAGTTGCAAAAGTATTGAAATCTTGTAAAATCTGATTATTTCTCCTATTTATGATGACTGCTAAAATTGCATCACTTAACCACTTGTTAACTGGTCTATAGCTGGATGACGGCTACAGCGCGGTTGTCCAGTTCTAAGAGGGCGTCATATGACGTCCTCCCAGATCACGCTCCCCCCCCACGGCACACACCTGGTGCTGTCTTTGATCGATGTTTCCTACAGACACAGTTGATCACATGACAAGGTAAAAGACCAATTACAGTGGCCTTTTACCAAGTGATCACCTGTCTCCAATGACAGCGCTGATCACAAAGTAAATACAGTTGCCGGTTATCAGCAGCACTGTCACAGTGTGAGGAAAGTACTGTCGATAACCCTCAAGAGTCACAGAGGATCAGTGCCCTGATTATCAGGGCAGCCCCAAAAGTTCCCAGCAGTGGCGCCCATCAGTGCCACCCATTAGTGCCCAGCAGTGCCACCCAGCAGTCCCGCCAATCAGTGCTGCATATCAGTGCAGCAGCATCAGTTTCTCATCACTTCCAACCAGTGCCGCCCTATCAGTGCAGCCTCATCAACGCACATCAGTTAATCTGTTTGCAAAATTTTATAATAGAAACAAAGTAAAATGTTTTTTTTTTACTTTTTTGCTCTTTTTTTCATTTATAGTGCAAAAAAATAAAAAAAAACCAGTGGTGATTAATACACCCAAAAGAAAGCTCTACTTGTGTGAAAAATATGATAAAAATTTCATATGTGAACCGCATTGCATGACTGTGCAGTTGTCATTTAAAGTGCAACAGCGATGAAAGCTGACAATTGGCCTTGGCAGGAAGGGCTAAATATGCCCATTAAAGCCCACCATGATCCTTATGGTTTGGTTATCCCTAATGCATCTTTATTCTCTAATAAAGTGTAATTTCTAAATTCTGAAGAAAATGTATTAATGCATGGTTGAGTGATACTGCTTATGTCATGCACTTTATCCTAGATTTTAAATTGTGATTATGTTAAGTAGTATGTACACTGGAGAACAATATTAAATATAATTATGGATATTTGCCCTTCCTTTTATGTTGCTCATAATATTGTCATTTTCCAAACTGATTCTAATCTGTTAAAATGCAGCATATGTTTCAGACACATTTATGGAAAATTAGAATATACAGAAATTTTATTTCATCACTCACAAGTCACAAGTGTAGTTTGAACTGTTATGGTATTATGTTGCTTAGGAAACCTCTAAAAATCTGTTTTACATGCACAAAGGTTTTCATTTAATTAATAATATTAATCAAATTAATATTAAACAATTTTTGAGCTTAAAAAGAAATTGTACTGAAGAGGACTTTGATCAGGAAACAAAGAAACTATAATCTTGGTTTCCTGGACAGGATAAAGTCGCAAAAGCCTAAAGGGAACAAATGAAAGGACCAAAAATAACCCCAAGGATCTTTTGCTTTTTTTGGAAAATCCATTGATCGACTATGATAAAGTAGTCTTTCTAACAACATTTAGTAAACAGATTTCTTCTTTTAGATGATAACTAAATTGACACTGGCATGTTTTGAACAAAGACACATTTGTTAAAAAATTTGTAGATAATGCTTAAAATATTATGTTCTATAGAGGGATTTAATTCCAAAACAAGCTAGTACCTAGCAGCGTTACACCCTATACTAAAGGCAATCCTTGCAGCCATCCTCCCTTGGGTACGTTCAGATTTTTAGATGTCAGTTTTGAAAATGTATCTGCATCAGGTCTAGATTTAATTTAGTAAATAGCAAAGTGTACAGTCCAGAACATTATTGTAAAGAGGAACGGCACTGTATCTAAGCAGCACAAACCAAAAAACACTATTTAATTCATTTTTAATATTCAAAGCAAACTCACCCACCCATCCATATCCATCCATGCTTTATTTTGCTGAGAAATCACTTTGAAAAATGCCCTTCTAGCATTTCTGGCAGTGGCCATCTTAAGTCAGGAATTTACTTCCTGGAATCTGCAATCCATCTGCCTTAGCTGAGAAAACCCCTCCTCCCTTCCTGAAATCTCCTGGGATTTATGACTTCATTTGCCTAGGCATGGAAACCAGAAGTAACTGAACAAATGTAAAAAAAAAGTTTAAAACAAGTAAATATGATATACTTTCCTATCTATTTACTAATGCTAGCAGTATTGCCCTTTTTTGTTTATAGTGCAAAAAATAAAACACCTACTGGCGATTTAATACCACAAAAAAAAAGCTCTATGTGTGTGAAAAAAATGTTAAAAATGTCATATGGGTACAATGTTGCATGACCGCGCAAGTGTCATTCAAAGTGTGAGAGCACTGAAAGCTGAAAATTGGCCTGGGCACGAAGGGGGTAAAAGTGCCAGGTAGGCAAGTGCTTAAATATAAATCATCTTAATCTGAAGGGAGGTGACTTTCATAAAACTATTTTATAATATAAAACTGAATGGATATACAACCTTCATACCACTACTCTTCCTGGTTTAAATGAACACATTGGCTTCCTTATAATAATCTGTGCCGGACAAATGTTATATTTTTTCTTCCTCTCTCATGAGATTCTTTCACCATTGTTTGTGTTGATTCTGTATAGTATTCATATAGTGGATGATTTCATTTTGATTTGAATAGGATTAAATAGTAAAATTGTAAGCCTTTGCAGTGGCTGGGGTATATATGATGCGTATACATACACTGTTTGTTTGTGTGGTTAGATTAAATGTGGCCTTCTGCATTTGTTCTGGTCTTTTAATTTTTTTTTATTTTTTTTGTTGGGGGGGGGGGCTGTTTTTTTTTTCTTTTCCTCTGCCTCTATTCTGGATTCCCACAGTGGCCTGTCTGTGATTTCTTTCCAAGGGCACTTAAACTGCATAATTTTTTATCCTATGTGTTTGAGTGGCATCCTGACACACAATAACATATTTGTTTCAAAATGCAATGCAATTTAATGATAAACCTCTATTTGTCAGAACCGAAGGGGGAATCACCAGAGCCAGAAGAGGCATCACTGGAATGGGGAACAAGAGGGCTGGGAGACAGTGGGTGGGATGGACTTCTTGTGCCAAACATGTGGTGTTGTGCACAGTGAGTGGAACTTGTTTTCCACTCCCAAGTACCAGCTTAGCTTTTGGATGGAGTTTGTCCCTTCATTCTGTATTATGTATTTTTGGACTTCTCTATAGAATTTTCTAGCATTGTGGGGTTGGGGAGAAAGGATTCAATCATTTTGACCTCCTTCAGGGGAAAATTGACTATATTTTGATTCTAATACATTTCTTGTATGTATTTATTCCACAGGGATTCACATAAAATTTGTATTGGACAAAACATTTTTAATTGAACATACATTGTTTACATACATATTTTTGCTTGTTTAGGATTAGTTAATTCTATAGATATGCAATATTATTTGGATACAACTGGATATATAGTATATCAATATATGCATTTGTTTTTATAAAATGGAGTTATGCATAACACCTTTTTTAACTTATATTTGTCTATAAGAAGGAAATAAAAAAAAGCAGTTGAAACGGGCTGACTGGCAACTTTTGGCACAAGGGGCAAGTACAACCCAGAGACCCATGGATACCCCAGCAAAAGTCCCCCCCCCAAGCACAAATCCTCCCTCCCCCCAAATCCCTCTTCTAGCACAGACCCTTCTCCCAGCGTAAATGCTTTCCCCTCTTCCCAGCACAAATCTTTGTCCACCCCCCGAATCTCCCTCCCAGAACAACTCCTCATCACAGTACTAATACCCCACCCCCAAATCCCCTCCCAGCACAAATCATCTACCCACTTCCAGTACAAAGGCACCCTACCCCCATCCCAACACAAACCCTTCTTCCCCCTCTTCAACCCCCCCCAGGTAAAATCCCCTATCCCCAAATGCTCCTCCCAGCAAAACTTCTGTCTTCATTTCTAACATAGTTCCTCTCCATCCCCCAAGTAGTCTTTTCCAGCACAACCCCCTTCCTGGGTCAAGTCCTAATGCCAATGTCAAGTGCTAATAAAAAGCACTGACACTGTACTAATGACACTGGGCATGAAGGGGTTAACATCTGGGGCAATCAAAGGGTCAAATGTGTGCTCTGTGTGCTGTTTTACATCATGTGCTGTGTGTGTTTTACTTGGGAAACATGCTGTTGTGTATTTCTCTGCTGTGCAGTGAAATACACAGCAGCATGTCCTTGCTGGCAGGAGAGAGACCTGTGTTGTTTACACATAGGTCTCTCCCCTGTCAGTTTTACTTGGCATACGCTGGGTGCCGGTGGGGAATCTCCAGCCGGGACCTGGTGATTGACATGCCTAGCTACCAATGGCAGCATGGGTAGGATTGTGTCCCCCCTACCAGGAAATACAAATCACGTATATATAAATACACGTGATTTTCTGCAGCCCTGACGCCATGTAGCAGTAGTTCTACTTAGGGCAGCAGGGAAATGGTTAATAAACAAGTGTTTTTAAGGGAAAAGCACTATTTTTTTTTGCCTATTTTTTTAATATATGAATGCGCAGTGGAGGAGAAGGAGGTATTAAGGAGGCCGTTTGCCATTGAAGGAAGACTCTGATTCAAGAGACATCTTAACCCTTTTGTCCACTTCAAGGGACACAAGCGTTTTTTGACCAAACTTTATTTGAGGTTGAAAGCTCCAGGTGAGGCACATTGGGTGTTTTGGTGGTGGAGAAATTCAAGTGGGATTAAGAAGATATGGAGTGATTATGGAAATGCTATTTACTGTTTGGGGATTGTTAAGAAGAAACACTAAAAGAGACTCATCATTGAGATTATTCATGTGTTATTTTTTAAGTGTTTTGTTCTGAGGGTATGATTGATGGGTGATTTATATTCTAAGGAAAGCGTGGCACTGTAATTTTGTCTGTTGTTATTTTGAGTCTATTTATATGGGTACGTGTAGGTGTGGGCAGCTTTCTATGTAATTTATTAATTTATCAATCAGTTGGTTTATTAATTAATTAGTTCACATTAATTTTAATTTTTAAGGCTGCTCCTGGAATTAGATTGTATTATAAAAGGGGGACTGTTTACATGCAAAATAATTTGTATCTCTTTCCATTTAGTAATGAGGTTTGCATAGTTTTACCACACCACATAGTGCTGTCCAGCAAGAGAGGGGATTTGAGCCTTCTCTGCTGCAGTTTATTTTCCACTTGCAAGTTCCCTCACCACCTCCACCCTGTGATTAGACAGTGAAAGGAGAAGGAGCATAGTTATGAGCTCATCTCTGTTCCCATTCACTCTCTTCTCCAATCAGGATGCTCCTTACACTGTAACATACTTGATTGGCTCATTGTGTTGCTTCTCACTCCCTCTCTCTGAACCCTGTTGTACAGGTACTGCAAGAGACTAATTTCAAGTTCAGTTATTTACAATAGCTGCATTAAACAATATACAATTAACAAAACTTAAATGATTACAGAACTGCACTCATTTTTGTATTTTGTATCTGTCTGGAATTCAGTTTAAAATAACAAAATAGTTAATTAACAAAGGCCAGCTAAAGTAATACTAGTAATCCAGTGACTAGGATTGATAACATTCTTAGTGATCACCATGCTAACTCAAGCTGTATTATTTAAATTTGTTTAAAAGGAGCTATTATGAGATTAGTGAGACTAACCGCTTCTGCGCCACCCTATAGCAGAAATACTGCTACAGGGCGACACGGGTGCACAAAATTATGTATATATACGTGGTTTTGCAGCTGCGGGTAGGGGGCATGCATGCGCAATACCTGTGCTGCCATTCGCAGCTTTGTCTCTCAATGACCATGTCCCAGACGGTGATTCCCCGCTGGCACCCGGTGATCACCGAGTATTACCAACAAGGGAGAGACCTGTGTATAAACAACACAGATCTCTCCCCTGACAGCTCCTGCATAGCAGAGCCATACAAAGCAGTGTGCTTACAGTGTAAAGCACATACACAGCACACAATAAAACAATACACAGTTAACCCTTTGATCGCCCAAATGTTAACCCCTTCCTGCCCAGTGCCATTAGTACAGTGTCAGTGCTTTTTATTAGCATTGATCACTGTATTGGTGTCACTCGGGATATCAGTGATACCAAGTCAGCTCAGCCCAGTGTCAGAATTCCCACCACAATCCTGCTATGAGACACTGATCGCCTCCATTACTAGTAAAAAAAAAAAGTCCAGTATATATACCACCATTTGTAAACGCTATAACTTTCATATAAACCAATTAATTTAAACGTATTGGGATTTATTTTAGCAAAACCTGTAGCAGAATACATTTTGGCCTAAATTTATGACAAAATTAGATTCTTAAAAATTTCTTTTACTGGACATGTTTAATAGAAAAAAAATCAAAAATATTGTTTTTTTCTCAAAATAGTCAGTCATTTTTTGTTTATAGCGCAAAAAATAAAAACTGCACAGATGATCAAATGCCACCAAACGAAATCTCCACTTGTGGAAAAAAAAAAAGACATAAATGGAATTTATGTACAGCGTTGCATGATTGTGCAATTGTCAGTTAAAGTAACGAAGTGCTGTAGCACAAAAAATGGCCTGGTCAGGAAGGGGGTAAATCCTCTGAAGGGCAAGTGGTTAAAAGGAGCTACTGTGAGATTAGTGAGACTTTAAATGTAAAATGCCTGAATTGTTGCAACATTCAGTTCAGGGTTGCCAAGTCTTTCAGAGCAATTGAACATGTCCGCCCTCATTGACTTTGAATATCTCAATGTTAAAATGGTAAAGCCGTTGGAAAGTTAAACTAATGTAGCAAGTTATTCATTTTGAACCCTAACTAGTACTACATTTTGATACTTTCTGATTGTCACTCTGTGTATGTGTTTAATAATGGCAGTGTTTTTTTTTTATTTTTGGTTATAGTTAGCACAGGCTTATTACTTTGCATTCAATATTTTATGACTAATAACCACATAAGGTATTTCATTCTGTAGAAAATAAGATTCCACTGTTCAGTCATTTTGACATCATTCCTTGGCAAACACTGATAGCTGTCCTGATATTGCAGAATTAATTTTATTTCTAGAAGACCTGTCAGGATTTATGTATAACGAGCTAATTCATCTTGCTACAAAGTGACATAGACCATTGATTACAATTAATGTAGCTGTTAATTGTTAGGCAAGTGAGAAACCATAGGTCATTAAAGTAAAGTTAGACCTGGCTCCCTTTTGTCTCACATGTTTGTTTTCACAAAAACTCTTAGGAACCTATTTATCAGCAAAATATTTCTTCAACATTTAAATTTTTTTCTCACAAATTTTTAAATGACTGACTTGGGGAACTGCTATGTTTAAGTCCATTATGAAAATAGCGAAAATTGCACTACATTGATGTATTCCTTTTATCATCTTTCCTCCCTTGAAAATAATGGGCTACACCAGGTTGGGGTGCTCTAGAAAATGTTATTTCAATATACATTTGTTTATAAATTGATACAATATACAGCACCTTACATATATATTCAGACCCTTGATCAATTCTCTTAAATATTAACTACAAATCCTGCAATCAGTATTATTTCTCTGTGATTTTTGTGTTAAATCTCATTGTCTTAGCTAATGTTCCTATCCTTTCATAACAGTTCAAAAAGACATTGGGCTTCATTTATGAAAGTGTCTTGCTCAAGAGTTGCATTTACTATCCCACATAAGTATTCTATCCTGGGAAATTATTGTTGGAGAGCTAAACATTGAGGTTGATTATTCTACAACAAACATTGATAAACTATGTTGCTTTGTATTAGATGACCAAATGGCTGTATGTCCTAGCTGTGAATGGGACTCAGGCATTGTAATGCAGTAGCCTCTTGGATCCCTGAATAACAGCAGGGATATACTTGTAGGAATAAATGCTTGATTGACTGGAGATCTCTCTTTTGGACTGGGATTGATTATGGTGACATTGTGTTCCTTGCAAAAAGAGACATCTTTAAGGTGTTGATTATGTACAATAAGTCATACCCCGCTGACAGTTGAAACAATAATGTGTTTAGTAACTGTACAGTATTTTTCCGCATACTCAGATGTGGTAAGTTTCCACTTAGTGAATTGCCCCCTCTGTTTGAAGTTCACGGTTTAACTTTCGTTATGTTCGACCGCGCACCAAACAGGGGGGTGTTCGACCCATCACTAACAAAGACCTTAGATGTCTTCAATGGCAGGTGTTACTGACCTGGTCAGAAGTAGCTTTTGGCCTTCAAGGTCCACTGCAATCATTTTGCATATGCTTCACCCAGCCATAAATAGTAGAGTAATAGCCATTCCAGCCTATGTGCTTTTTTATTGTATGTGACTTTTTATTAAGGTTTTGTATAATAAAATTAAGATTTTATGACATATAATTTTGTGTCAAGTGGTGCCATTGAAAAATCCCTATCTTATATACTGTAGTTTCTTTCAATTGGAGCTGGAGACAATTGTTATTCTGTATGACCATGTACATTTGTGATGATTGCAGAGAATTGCACATAATGCAAATTCACTGAAATGTAATTTTCATCTTCGAGGAACTTTGTTCCACTAATAGAAGACTTGCACTTAGCTTCAATGGTTGACTTTTAAGGACTAAATGCACCGTGACTGCATTAATGCCAGCACTTTTTACTTACAAAAATTTGCGGCAAAAAATAAAATTACCTTCGGCTGTTTACTTTTCAAATACAGGTAATGTTGGGGTGTTTTTATTGTAATTCTACTGCCCCACTTATTGTAAAGTGCTGCACAAAATGTTGATGCTATATAAATCCTGTATAATATTAATGTCCTAGCATTTTCCATTAATGTGTTTTATAACAAGGGACACAGTTTTTTAGAAACATTTTAGTCTTTTTTTCTTTTTTATAGTATGAAATAAAATGTGGTTATTAAATTCTGCTAAAAGAAAACTATCTGTCTCAAAAAAACAAATCAAAATCACATCACTGAAAACAGAAAAATGGCCTGGAAAGGAATGGGGTGTAACATGCTGGTATAGTGGTGGTTAAACCATTTACTATAAACCCTAGAGATTATATTGCATACATATCCCAGGAGGTCAGTAGTTTCTAGGATGCTAAAACCCAAATTATTTTCATTTCCATAGCAGGATATTGGCGCTGTATGAGCTTGACAATGCAAATGAAGGGGTTTCACACCTAACACTTTTGGGGGCTGATATGTTTTCTGGATTAGGAGAGCAGTCAATTTTTCACACAATGCACACCAATGTACATGTATGGTGGAAACAAGTGACATCTAGAACAATTGTATTCTATTTAAAAACAAAATAACAGAGCTAGTACATAAATAAACAAATAAAATAATTAAATAAAAACAAATGATTATAACATAGTGGCTAGTGCATCAATCATAATAAATAACATACAGTGAATAGAAGTAAAATAAAATAAAATAAAACTGTTCATGTGAAAGCTAAATCCAAGTGACAAATAGAGTCCCTACTCCAAAGAATATCAAGTGCAAACTAGGAGCCGACAATATACTATTATGTGAAAAAACTCCTTCGCCTCCACATATATATGTCAGAGCCTCTTACCAGACAAGATGGTCCATACACCATACACCACGATGTGAAAAAACTCCTCCGCCTCCACATATACAGTTGCAAGAAAAAGTATGTGAACCCCTTGGGATTACGTGGAGTTTTGCATGAATTGGGCATAAAATGTGCTCTGAACGTCATCTAAGCCACAACAATAGAAGAACACAGTCTGCAGAACATAATACTACACAAACATTAGATGTTGCCATGGTTTAATTGCACATAACATGTAAACATTCACAGTGCAGGGAGGAAAAAGTATGTGAGGCCCTAGCTTAATGACTTCTCCCAGAGCTAATTGGAGCCAGGAGTGAGCCAACCTTGACTCCAATCAGTGTGATGATATTGGATGTGTTGCTGACAGCTGTCCTGCCCTTAAAAAACACACACCTGTTTTGCGTTTACTGGTTTCAAGAAGCACTGTCTGATGTGAACCATGCCTCGCAGAAAAGAGCTCTCAGAAGACCTACGATCAAGAATTGTTGACTTGCATGAAGCTGGAAAGGGTTACAAAAGTATCTCCAAAAGCCTTGATGTTCCTGTGTCCACGGTAAGACAGACTGTCTACAAATGGAGAAAGTTTAGCACTGTTGCTACTCTTCCTAGGCGGGGTCGTCCTGTAAAAATGACTGCAAGAGCACAGCACAGAATGCTGCATGAGGTAAAGAAGAATCCCAGAGTGTCAGCTAAAGACCTACAGAAATCTCTGGCACATGCTAACATTTTTGTTGACACATCTACAATAAGGAAAACATTAAACAAGAATGGAGTACATGGGAGGACACCACGGAGGAAGCCATTGCTGTCCAAAAAGAATATTGCAGCACGTTTGAAGTTTGCAAAAGAGCACCTGGATGTTCCACAGCACTACTGGCAGAATATACTGTGGACAGATGAAACCAAGATTGAGTTGTTTGGGAAGAACACACAACACTATGTGTGGAGAAAAAAAGGCCCAGCACACCAACATCAAAACCTCATCCCCACTGTGAAACATGGCGGAGGGAGCATCATGGTTTGGGGCTGCTTTGCTGCCTCAGGGCCTGGACTGATTGTTGTCATTGATGGGAAAATGAATTCCAGAGTTTATCAAGACATTTTGCAGGAAAACGTACGACCATCTGTCCGCCAACTGAAGCTCCGCAGAGGGTGGGTGATGCAACAGGAAAATGACCCAAAGCATACAAGTAATTCAACAAAACAATGGCTGCAACAGCACAGAATACGCCTTCTGGAGTGGCCCAGTCAGAGTCCTGACTTCAACCCGATTGAAATGCTGTGGAATGACCTTAAGAGAGCGATTCACACCAGACATCCCAAGAATATTGCTACACTGAAACAGTTTTGTGAAGAGGAGTGGTCCAAAATTACTCCAGATCGTTGTGCAGGTCTGATCTGCAACTACAGGAAACGTTTGGTTGAGGTTATTGCTGCCAAAGGAGGGTCAACCAGTTATTAAGTCCAAAGGTTCACATACTTTTTCCTCCCTGCACTGTGAATGTTTACATGTTATGTGCAAATAAACCATGGCAACATCTAATGTTTGTGTAGTATTATGTTCAGCAGACTGTGTTCTTCTATTGTTGT